TCCATACCATTTCTGTGCTTTATTGAGCCCATCTTTGCATGAAATGTTCCCTTGGTATCTCTGATTTTCTTGAAGAGATCTCTAGTCTTTCCCATTCTGTTGGTTTCCTGTTTCTCTGCGTTGATCACTGAGGAAGGCCTTTTTATCTCTCCTTGCTGTTATTTTAGGCCACAGCAAATTTGCGCCTCACTGCTGTCAGCGCCTCAGCACTCGTGCAGGCCACTGTTGACCGGTGCGTCCACAGGAGACCCTCAGACCGTCAAAGGCAGGTCTGGTTCTGTCTCTTGTGGATTCGCTGCTCCTTTCCCTGGGTCCTGGTATGTACAAGGTTTTGTTTCCCCAGTCCTGTGGAAGTTCTGTAATCAGATCCTGCTGACCTTCAAAGTCAGATTCCCTGGGAATTCTCAGTCCCTTTGCTGTATCCCACGTTGGGAAATCTTTTGTGGAGCCTAGAACTTTCTCAACAGTGTGAGAACTTCTTTGGTATAATTTTTCTCCAGTTTGTGGATTGCCCACCCGGCGGCTCTGTGGTGGGGCTAATGGCAACCTCATCCAAGAGGACTCAGGCCACATGCCGTGCCTCCCAGGTCTGCTGCAGCCAGAACCCCTGTTCCCGCGCAGGCCACCGCTGACCCATGCCTCTGCAGGAGACCTGCAAACCCTCAAAGGCAGGTCTGGTTCAGTCTCTTAAGGGGTCATTGCTCCTTTCCCTGGGTCCTGGTGCACACAGGGTTTTATTTGTGCCCTCCAAGCATCTCTGGCAGGAATGAAGTTTGATTTTAAGTGTGATTACGCCTCTCCTGCCGTCTTATTGCAGCTTCTCCTTTGCCCTTGCACCTGGGACATCTTTTTCTAGTGGGTTCCAATATTCTCTGTTGATGCTTGTTCAGCAGCTAGTTGTGATTTGGGGGTTCTCGCAGCAGAGAGAGGAGCACATGTCCTTCTGCTCCACCCTCTTGTTCCTGCTGTTATGCGATAGGGGACTTGAATAAATACAACAATAAAGGTATCTTTCTTCATTGTTTTGTGCTCTTGGTCAGCAGTTAGCAAAGTATGGCCCACGGGCCAAAAATTGAGCCTGCTGCCTGCTTTTGTATACAGAGTGTATGGGAATACAGCCACAACCATTCCTGTGGCCACATTCATATTATACTGGCAGAGTCAACTAGTTGCCACAGGGACCATGCGGCCCACGAACCACAGATGTTTACTCTCTGACCCTTCACAGAAAGAGACTGTCAGCCCTGCGCTTGGCCAGTTATTTTTACGCCAAGACTAAGCCATCCATGGTCTCTGAGGCCAGGGCTGAGTGACTCAAACGGACATCTGGCTACTTGCCCTGCCGAGAAGGTCGGGCTCCATGGTGGTCATCGAGGGCGTGGGACTTGAAGGTGGAGCCGTGCCCACTGTTCACACCCATCTGGATCACAGCTCACAGGGAGAAGCCCTGGGTCTTCTGAAAGGAGGAAGGTAGCATTGTGTCCTGCAGAGATTCTCAGGTTGTATGTCTGTTGAGTTTTTAATCCATGGAACTAACTCTTCCAGTGGAATCTTGTGTAAATGCCCAGTATGTGAAATTGAAGAGCAGAGTCGCCCTGGGAGGGGGTGGGCTTGGGGGGCTACCATGAGAGGCCCGGAGCCCTCCTCACCCTCTTCCTTCCTACCGGAGTGGCAGTCTGCATGGTACTTCTGCCCAACCTGGGGTCTTGGGGTGAAAAACCCCCCATAATGGAAACACATCTCTGTGGCTTGGGGATCTGACAAACCTGGCTTTGAATTCAGCTGCTGTCACTTATGAGCTGCATGTCCTTGGGCAAGATCTTGGTCTCTGTGTCATTTTTTTTATTAAAATGGAGATCATTATGTTTATCTTATATGTTGTGAATATTTTAAAATACTACTTTGATGCTTCTTTTACAGTGAAATTGCTTGAAAGCAATGGCTGTATGTCAGTATATTGCTGCCTGTCAAATTAGCACAGACTCAGTGACTTGAAAGACCACCACCAACTTTATTCTGGTTCTGTGGTTCAGAGATCCCCGAGGGTTTTCAGTGGCTGAAATCAAGGTGTCAGCAGGACTGTGTTCTGGAGGCTCTCGGGAAGAATTCTGTCCTTGCCTTTCCAGCCTCTGGAGGTAGTTTATATTCCTTGGCTCATGGCCCCTTCCATGAAACATGGAGCTTGGTCTGTCTCATACTGCCCTCTCTCTGGTCCTCTCTTCCAATACCCTCTTCCACTTGTGATTACACTGGGCCTGCCTGGCTAATTCAGAACAATTCCCCCTGTCAGCATCCTTAATTAACCGTGGCCATGTAACCTAAATCTTCAGAGATGCCAGAGGTTAGGGTGTAGACATTCTTGGAGACCCAGCCACCGTGTCTTGTCTTTATTTCCTCTTCTCTCCCACTCTTGGGAACCCTTTCCAGCAGGCTTTCTTGGCCATTGTTCCCCTGGAACCACTCTAAAGGTCACCTCCAAATTGTCAGCTACTGCGGTCAGCTCCTGGTCCCCACCTCAGCCTGCGTGTCATCAGTACTGGCTCCGTGGTCACTGCCACCTGCTCCAGTGGCTTCCAGGATGTGATTGTCCCTTGGTTCTCTGTCCACCTGACTGTCTTGTTCATTCTCTTCTGCTGTTATGTCCTCAGTCTTCCTGCCTGTGTAAGCTGGGGTCCAGGGCTTGTTTCCTGGACTTTGATCAATGAGCATTCCCTTCCCAAGGTTTCAACTACCTTCCACACCGATGTGTTTTCAATGCTGTATTAGCTCTCTAGCCCACGTCTAAACTCTAGACTCCTAATTCAGCTACCTACTTAATGTCTCCCCCTGGAAAGATAAAAGATACAGCAGATTCAGTTTTCCCCAAAGCAAAGTCTCATGTCCTGCCATGTTCCCAGGCTCCTTCCTGCACATGTGTCCCCATTCTGCTTGTTCAGGGCAAAATCCTTGGACACAGATTTATACAAAAGCCTCCTATCTCGTGTTCCTCTTGCAGACTTTTCTGACATAACAGCCATGCTGATCCTTCTGGGATCCTGTGAACCCTTTGCCCAGACCTCCAGTGACTTTGTTAAACCCAGGAAAAAAGCCAAAGTCCTTGAACTGGTCCGGAGGGCCCTGTAATCTGACCCCTCTGCTGCCTGCCCACCTCACCTTCCATCACCCCCACCTTCACTCCTTGCCTTCCTGCCACACCGGCGCCCCTCAGCCTGCCAGGCACATTCCGGCTGCAGGACCTTTGCACCTGCTCTTGCCTCCCCGGGAAGCCTTTCTCCCCAGGACACTGCATGGCTGTGCTGTGCTTAGTCAGTCAGCCGTGTCCGACTCTTTGCCTGCCAGGCTCCTCAGGTGAGATTTCTGGAGTGGATTGCCATGCCCACCTCCAGGGGATCTTCCCAACCCAGGGATTGAACCCAGGTCTCTCGCATTGCGGGCAGATTCCTCACTATCTGGCTTGCTCATTTTTCCTGAAGCCTCTCCTGAAGCGTCACCTGAGCAGAGAGGCTAAAATGGCACCTCTTACCCCAGACACACCCACCCTGACTTACGTCAGCATCATTCGCCTCAATGTCTTCTTTGCATTCACCACCACTTCGACATTGTCTATCTGCAGCTTTCTTTATTTTACCCCTCTTGCCCCGACTCGAATATCTTCACTGCTGGTGTCTCTCCTGCCTTCTCAAATGCTTGTCGGTTTCTCTGGAGCATGTTCCATAAGGGCAGGGCTTTCTTTGGTTCAGTGCTCTCTCCCTGGCGCCTAGCCTGGTGTCTGGTGTGGGCAGGGTGAGTGGGGAAGGGTTGGTCAGGTGTTCGTGGGATGCATAAATAAACAGATGGATGAGCTGTATATGTGAGGGCCTCCGTCACAGGGCAGGCACTCAGACTCACAAATGAGAGCTGTAATTATGAGCGATGCATTGATTGACTTGAAGGACTAGTTTCCCTGTCAGGCTGGTGTTATTCAGGGCAAGATAGCTCCTATGAATACATCATAATTGTATATTGTTTATTGCTTTAAGGCAAACCTTAGCATTAAAATAAAAAATCTCTCTCATGATGCTTCTTGAACTCTTCCTCCAGGGCCCATGGTCATAGCCAGGGAGCCAGGCTACTTCCTGGGTTGCAGAGAGGAGACAGGTGACTCCCAGGACCTCCTCTCTTCTCCTTTCTGCTGTACAGAATGTTCTCTGTCTGGGTGGGATCAGGCAGGAGGTGGCTCCAGGGCCAGAGTGATTTGGGGGAAATACTTCTCTTGACCGGCTTGAAATTGGACAGGGTGGGGGAGGCTCGCCTGCCCGAGGCAGTGACTGGTCTGTAGTTACGTCTAGTGTTCCTTCTCAGATGCAGGGCCACAGGGTTTTCGTCCCTTCTTCCGAACATCTGTTGAGCCCGTGTGTGCCAGAAGCTTAGGTGGGCCAGGCCCTGGGATATAGGATGGATGTGGGCCCTGCTTGGGAGACCGCACAGACTGTATGGGTCAGTGGGTAAAATAAAAATGATAATACAGCCATGTGCCCAGCCTTGCTCCAAGAGCTTTGGCTATGTCGTCTCCTTAGTACTCCAGTAATCCTGTGAGATGTGGGGCAATTGCTTCCCTTTTACACATAAAGGAACTGAGGCCTCGGGGGGTTAAGTAACATGCTGGGGTCCCCAGCCAGCGAGCCCCAGAGCTGTCCCTCCTCACCACGCCCTTTGAAGGGTGTGGAGGGCGGGTGCAGGCTCTCACCTTGATCCCGGGCTAGTTTTAGGGGTGTCTGTCCTCAGGTTACAAAGAAAGAAAGTGGCTTCAAGCGCCAGAAGCCTCTCCAGGATTGGGTTCCCGGGGACAGGGTCACAGCCAGAGCAGAGCTTGACCAGCGGACCCCACAGAGCTCAGCATGCAGACCACTGCCTGCTCGCCACTCAGAGGTTTCTAGAACGCAGAACTGAAACTCAGAGCCTCTACAGAGGACCAAGAAGGCACGCCCCCCACTGACCGCTCCCCGCTTGTCCTCGTGTAGCCGGGAGACTTGCTGTACTTTCCCAGAGGGACCATCCATCAGGCAGCCACTCCCGAGGGGCTGGCCCACTCCACGCACGTGACCATCAGCACCTACCAGAGCAGGTAAGCCCTGGCCTCCGACCTCGTGTCCCCATCCCCGCTGGCTTCCTAGTCCTGCCGTGTCCTCCTGGGCCCCCTCCTGGGCCCTCGCGACCCCATCTCACCCGGATCACTGGGACTTGCCCACGTCCAGGCTGCCGGGATCGGGAAGACAGGCCCGGCTGGGGCGCGGCGGTGTGTCTGGGACTCCAGGCTCCCACCCCCACCCACTCACTGTCTCCATTAAAAAAGGTTTTTTATTGTGGCAAAAAAATTCATAGACCATTTTAACCATTTTTAAGTGTCCAGCTCAGTGACGCTAATTGCGTTCACAGTGTTGTGCGGCCATCCCCACTGTCCGTTTCCGAAACATTGTCATCACCCCGAACGGAAACTCTGCGGCTCGGAAACCTCTGGGTCTCCGTAAGGTTTCCAGTTTTTACAGTTCATTAAAGTCGGAAAGGATGTCTGGAACAGTGAGTCCTAGAAGCACATGTGCTGAAAACAGTTCCGATTAAAACCACCTTCCAGTTCAGCGAGCGCCTTGTCAATGACAGGAGCCGGGCAGCGGCCCTGCCCGGGGTTTCCCGGCGGCAGCGGCCTGGCTAGTCCGGTCCCGTTAAAAGCGCCCATCACTGGTTTATCCACAGGAGCCCTGGGCCTTGTCGTGGCTGCAGGGATGGTAGGCGCAGGGCCGAAGGGGCTTTGGGAGGACTTCTACTCCGGTCACGGTGGAAGGAGGGGAGACGGGTGTATTCCCAGACAGCGTGACATGTCCCATCAGAGCTTTGCGGAGGAGTCCCTGGGAGCAGAGGGGTGCGGTTAGCTAGGCTGGGGCATCCCGGAGGCTTCAGCACGGACTTGCCCCCCAAACTGCGGGAGCCGAGGGGATGAGTCAGTGGCGGTGGGTCCGAAGGTCAGAGTGGGACCGGACATTGCAGGCCTGAGGAACGGGGTCCTCCTAGCCTCGGAGCTGTATCTTGCACAGCAAGAGCAAGCATTCTTCTGCCTCCTCTTCTGGCTTTGCAGCCAGAAGTGAGCCGCGGTGTTTAAGGGACAAGAGGAAATAAGCGGGGGTCTGGCCAGAAGGCAGAGCCTGTTTCACGGTTCTCTCGTGTAAAACGCCTTCTCACCACGGTTGGGCCCCGTGCAGAGCGAGGTTTCCGAGGGCGATTGCGGGAGCCGGCAGCGGGAGCCGGGCCGCGGGGAGGCCGCAGCAGAAGCCCGTTCCGGACCGCGGCAGCTCTGGGCCCCGGGAGCGTCCGTCCTCTGGTGTCCTGTCGTCGGTCACTCAGCTGCTGCGTCTTTCCCTAGTTCTTCCTCTTTCATTTTTCTTGCGGCCATCAGCTGGTTTTCTGGCTCCCTTGGTTTTCACTCCCCCATCTTCCTTCCTCAGTTCCTGATTTACTCACAACACTGGCATGTCACGAGGCTCGTCAGTTCCTTCTCTGACTCCCTCCATCTCCTTGACCCCGTGAGCTTTTGCTACCGCCAGGTGACTATTTCCCAGTCCCGGGGGTGAAGAACTGGTAGCTTTCCCTGGTCCCACCACCCCTCCTGCAGTCGGCAGGGCTGGAAGAGCTGCCTGCCGGCTGAGGGCGGGCACGGTGATGCCGACTCGTGCCCGTCGGTGGGGCCGCTGCCAGAACGGGACAGTGTGACGCGAGCATGTCCTGTGCTTTGGCCCTGGCGCTCCTTAAGGCATTATGGCAGGGTGAAGATTCGGCCTTTCCCTGAGCCTTCTCAAGGGTGGCATTTAGGGCCTGCTCTCCCAGATAGTGGCATGCCGATCTGACTTGATTTATGAAGGTGAACCCCTCCAGAGGTGTTGTTTCTAAACTGCAGCCCAAGATCCAGTCTCCTAGAAGAGCACGGAGCTCAGTGTCATAGCTGCACTTTAACTCCGTGAGCTAATGCTGTGGGACTTGTACCTGGGACCCCTCGAAGGACGATACTATTTCACGCTGCTGTGAGGTCTGCGTGTGTCCTCCAGGTCTGCCTTCAAAGGTGTGAGGTTGGGTGTAGCATTTTGTCAGAAACCGGTGAGGCCACCAGGTGGGGGTGGATGCCTGGGGGGAAGTGTCTGTCACGTGGCTCTTGTCCTCCTTTGCCATTTCCAGGAGGTAAGCACAAAAGTGTTAATTTTGCTTACAGAGTGAGAGGCAAAAGTCATACTGTGAATTTTCATTTTGCATGTAGCCGGCAATTTGAAACCTGCTAGTGACAGAGGGAAATTTTGAGCAGCTCAGAAATGTTTATAGAGAGAGCATCCCCACAGCGTGTGCGTCTTACACTGACACACATTTAGGAGTGAGCGATTCTGAACACCCCGGAGAAAAAGCAGACGAAGCTGAACGCCAACGCTTGTCCTGACTGGCATTTTTGGCGTCTGGCTTCTCTTCTACCCCAATAAAACCATCATTAGAGTTTAACAAGTTGCAGAGTAAATCGTTTTGAAATTGTTGATGTTGGATACTTTACTGAGAACAGTGCCCCTCTTTTTCTTTTTTAAGAAACAAAGGAAAATGTCATGTTGATATAATTGCACAGTCCAGGATCTTGCTGTTTCCCTACATATATTGCTTTTTGGATTTTTTGCACATACACATTTTTTTAGGTCCTCTAATGATTGAGAGTTACTTTTCTGCAAAACTCTCAAGGCAGTTATGTAGTTGAAAACGTTTAAAAAAAAATTGTTCCTTTGAACTTCCTACTTTATGTCAGTCTGTAATTCTGATATCTTTGCATTTAAGATAAATCATGTATAGAGCCTAGCTTCCCACCTTTAACTTTGTACGTGAGTGTCTGAGGTGGGGAGAAGCCTGTGATGGATGATGCTGTTAAGTTTTTATGCTGAGGGATGTGAAATTATTGGAACTCAAGATATCAGGGCAGGGGATTGTTGTGGTGGTTTGTAGCCTGAGGCTTTTATAATCAGTGTTTCAGTCACATTTCTTATGTTTCATTGTTTGTTTTTTTGACTTGGCATGTGTTCCAGTTCTTGGGGAGACTTCCTTTTGGACACCCTCTCGGGGCTCGTGTCGGACACTGCCAAGGCAGACGTGGCACTCCGGGCGGGCATCCCCCGGCAGCTGCTCCTGGTAAGGAGCGAGGGCAGGTGGGGAGGGAGGGGCAGCTGTGGCTCCCGCCCAGGACCCCAGAACCCTTCTCCCCACAGGAGCCAAGCTTGTCTCCTGCTGGGCTGGGTGGTTTGCAGACGAACGGGGTGCTGCACATTGCTTGGCCCAGCGGTGGTATGCAGATGGCCCACTTCCTGTATTTCAGGCTGGCAGCAGCGGGCCCTGGGAGCGCTGAGCGAATAGGTGGCTGAATAACTCATGTGCCTCAGGAACTATAGCCTCAGCACATGTGCGACCCCAGGTTAGGAGAGACCAACGAGAGCCTGGCCCCCGTCTGCTCCCTGGCTTTCCTGTCCACCCGGATTTTACTCTGTTGGCAGGTTTTGAGATGATGGATGCATTAGGGCTGAGGTGAGCAAAGGTGCCTTCATGGTCTGAAGCAGTCACTCCAAGACAGTGATTTTTTTTCTTCAAAAGGCAAGGCCAAGACTGCACCATATTCCCAGGGAGCCCTCTTTCTAGGCAAAATGCTAAAAATTGATTTTTTTTTGCAAACGGTAGGCAGCTACAGGGAGCGGAGGTTAAGAGGACATAAAGCGCTGCTGCCCTTAAGGGAGTGGCGTGGACCCGTGTCTGTCCGGGGGTGGCGCCCGCTGCACCCCTCTGGAGACGGGGCCTGGGCGGGAAGGTGGCTGGAGTCTGGGCCAGGACTCACTTTTGTGTTTCCAGCAGGTGGAAACCACAGCTGTTGCAACAAGATTAAGTGGCTTTCTGAGGATGCTTGCAGACCGGCTGGAGGGCACCAAAGAACTGCCTTCAGCAGACATGAAGAAGGATTTTGCTGCGAACAGACTCCCACCTTACTGTACGGGGGACGGAGCAGAGCTTACGGCACCAGGTGGAGCTTGCTGTCTCTTCTGGGGGGTCAGGGGCTAATGTGGGATATTTTGATGCTTTTCTGGGTGTGCACTTCTTTGAGTTGGTGGGAAGTATGAAGCATTTCAGGGTGAACGTGAGCCTGTCCTTAAGTGTGTTAAGGTTGGACAGGACACGCTGCTTGATGGGGAATGAGAACCCTGTGGTTTGGGGTGAGGAGTATGTATTTATGGCCCCTCTGCAATTCATCATCTGCAGGAAGTTTCAAGAACTTGAACACTGCAATAATCTTGTTGGAAATGAGCTTAGGGATGGGTAAAACGTTGCCATCAGCAGGTGAACTATAAGAATTCGCAGGCTCATCACAGACCTTCCCCAAGTCCCAGGTGACTACCTGTGACAGGTTTAAGTTACAGATGATGTGGATAGACGTCTGGGTGGATGGTGATATCAGTGTTCTGGGGCTCAGGCTGCAGCATGCTCCTGTAGTTGGTCAGAGCTGGGTTTATTGACTTGTAACAGGGGAGATAGCACGCTGCTGGGGACTGCAGACATCTCAGTAAAAGGAGTGCAGGAAAGGATTTCTAGGATTTGGGTTTGAGCTAGGTGATTTCAGGAGGGTTCAGGAAGTCGGGCTTTGCTCTGGGTTGGATGCTGTTGGGAAATAGAGATTCTCGGATTGGGTCTCCTCTAAGTCCTAGTTGTGGTTGGTAGCAGGAGGAGTGAAGTGAGGATGGAGTGACCGCTGGTAAAGCAGCAGGCCCTCAGGCCAGCCAGGAGAGGGGCACGTGTGGTCACTCAACTTTTCTAAAAGCCTTATCCATCGCTCATGGAGGACCAGCAAGACACACAATCTACAAGGTCCCTTCTAACATTCACTCTGTGTACATTTTTATTGTAGTCTGAGGTGGGGAGGAGTTTAGAATGTTTTTGATGCATCTACTCAAAACAGCAATTTTCCCAGCACATAGTTTAATCTTTAGCAGAACAGTTCAGTTCTGAGTATCAGCTTATGTCCCAGGATATTTCATCTGAAGTTTTCCCTGTCTTAGCCCTTACTGTCATATTAAGTTCCCTCAACTCTGTCTCCAACCAGATCCCCCTGTCAGGCTGGTCTGTCTGTAGTGGCTGGTTTTTTATTAAGTTAAATCCAATCTAGGAAAGAGAGTTGTTTCTGTGCACTTTATTAGGTGGCTTTTTTTTTCAATGGCGTAGCGCTTGACCTACCTAGACTGAATAATTCGCCTTGGTCATTGGAGGGATGGTGCGCTTGGAGCTCAGGAAGTCCTTTCAGAGCCCGCACGTGGAGCAGGCCAGGGATAGAAGCTGGAGCGGTGAGAGTGTTCCGCGCAGAAGGCGGGGTGGCCCAGTCTGTCCTGTGAAAGTGTGTGCTCCCCAGGTACCGGTGACGGCCTTTTGATGAACTTACAAACGTCTGTTGTTATTTATCTGATTGACATCTGTCTTCAGTGTAAGAATGTGGTCCACTGGGATGTAAGCGGTATTTTTAACATCCCTGTGAACCGTCGGAGTTGGAGCAGATGCCCCGTGTTTGGATTCACCTGCATGTTGTTAACTAATTTTCCCAAACAGTCGCTCCTGCAAACAAGTTTGAGCCTGCTTTCTCTCTGGGTTTCCTAGGTGGACAGTTCCCGGGCTTGGACAGCACAGTGAGACTGCAGTTTAGAGACCACGTGGTCCTCACCGTAGGACCCGATCAGGACCCATCCGTGAGTATCCAGAAGGGAAGAGGGTTCCACTCAAGGCATTTCCGTCGCAGGCCTCAGGTTATCAGGCTGACGGGTGGCCCTGCCCGCCTCCTCTGGGAATCTTCCTCCTCACAGTTTGGTCCCATCGCTCTAGATCAGATTATACCCAGATCTCACTGCTCTGGTTCCAAAGTTTCCTGCCCGTTGGGCATTTGAGGGTTTGTCCTTAGCCCCACAGAACTCTGCTTCTTCCCCTAGTGATTAATGTCTGGTCTCTGCCTCCTAATTAGGGTTAGGTTGCCTTTGCCAAATTCTCAGTATAGGTTTCTGGTCTTGCTCTGGGGTGGGACCTCAGCCTTTATTAAAGTGCCCCTCACAACCCTAAAGCCCCTTGTGAGTTCTTCCACGCCTGCTGGCTTCACCCTGGTCCTCCTGCTCAGCTTTCTTGGGAGGGGCCCATGAATGACTGGTGAGGTTGGGAGTCAAGGGCACCTGGATGTCTCCATAACCAGACTGTTCTAGCCATCAGGGCCAAACCCCATGAAAACTTAATATATAACATATATGGAAACCTTGAGAGATTATATACTCCCACAGCCTCATTTAAAAAAAAAAAAAAGCTAGTTATTCTGATAATCAGTTAGTTTGAGGCATTTATTTTCGGTCAGTGTTTGATCCTCATTTAAGAGGTGACAAGGAATGACCCAAGGTGCTGGAAGAGACAGTAAACTTCCCTGTGTAGGGTGGATACAGAGGGAGGGGAAGCCTACAATAAGTGGAAGGAAGGTTTTTATAGATCACATGGCTGATATTTACAATTAATATTTACTCTGGTGTTCATAAATTGAAAATTTATGTATACCTAGGAATATTAAATTTTTTCTGATGCACAAAGAGTGCAGGTATGGTTAAATGAAGAAACTTGAATGTTTCATTGGTAAGTTGAAATAGAAATGGTTTTTTCAATTAAAGTTTCTGAAGGGGCTGTTAACTTTTGAAAAAATTACAAGTGCTTATTTGCTACATACAGATAGTAATCTATGAGAACTATAAAAAAATACATTCATTGTACATTGTATTTATGCATCTGCATGTTTACATCTCAACTTTTTGCCAGGAAGATTCTTTAGTATTCAATAAATTTCACTTAAGCACTGAGGCATTGAGATTTTTCTTGGTATTGCCCTATATTACTGGAAAAGCCTCCTAGCATCCCAGTGGTCAGTATTTTGTTGTTGACAGCTTTTTTCGTTTTTTGAAGGATGAAACGCGAGAGAAGATGGTTTATGTCTATCATTCCTTAAAGAACAGGAGAGACACACACATGATGGGACATGAGGAAACAGAGGTTTGTTCCAGCCCAAAATGCACGTCTTTGCTGTGGTTGGTGCTTGGAGGGAGGACTCTGTTACCTCTGAGTATGGGTAATGGGCTTTTCTGTGACTGCAGTGTGGACTTAACATTTCACAAGTTGACAGCCCTTCACAGGGATAGTTAAGGCAGACATTTCTGTAATATATAAACACCTACCCACTTTAAAAGACACTCGCATGGGACCTGTGGCCTTGCAGGGGAGGTGTAAAATAACCAATAAGCAGCATTTCAAATGACCAGTATTTCTTTTAAGACTTTTTATTCTAATGTATTTTGATTTGGCCAGTAGGGACTGTTTCTCTGCAACTTTCTAAAAAAAATTTGGGCCACACCCGACGGCCTATAGTATCTTAGTTCCCTGACCAAAGATCCAGCCTGTGGCCCCTGCATTGGAAGGTGGAGTCTTAACCACTGGGCTGCCGGGGAGGCCCCAAGTGACTAATAGGCCTTTCATGAAGTCTGAGTTTTCACAAGGGAATCATTGCCTTTTATAAGTTATCTAATTATAGTTTGTAGTTTTTGTAAATAGGTTACCTGTAACAAGTTTCATTCTTACGAAGGATCTCAGTAATGATGCATTGAGAATTATGGAAATGGCACTTAAATGACTGGTTCATCTTTTTTCAGCCTCATGGACTTCGCTTTCCTCTATCACATATGGATGCACTAAAGCAACTTTGGACCAGTTCAGCTATTTCTGTCAAGGACCTGAAGCTGACTACAGATGAGGAAAAGCAAAACCTGGTATTATCCCTCTGGACAGAATGTTTAATCCAAGTAGTCTAGTGCCTTTGCTGCTTTAGTAGTAATATGTATTTGTAAAATACTAGACACTTGATTCTGCAGAGATTTGTGCGCTGGGGACTCCTGTTGCTTTGAGCCAAGGACACGATGAATGTAACTTTCCTTACCTGTGTAGTTAATAAAATGAGATCTACCTCTTACAGGTGATCAGTTGGCCATATGTACTAATAGATGTACATAGAAGAAGAGCAAATTACTCAATGTCCCAGAAAGTGACATAAGCCATATTTCAACAAGTTTATTTAATCCAGTGTGGTAGAAAAGGCACAGCTCCAATAAAGGTATCATTTAAATTTAACTGTCATTACCTGGTGTTCTTTGGAAGAAATAACTTCTTTAAAGAGCCTCACTGGCTCTAGAAAAATTTTAAACAATTAACATGAAGAAAATTTTTTAACTTGGTTTTTTACAGTGAAAATATACATACCATACCTTTGTGTATACACAAGCCCCCCGCCATTAAAATAAAGTTACCCTAAAACAAATTTCATTAAATAATACTGCCACATTTAATAAGAGGCACTCACATCTATGGGCAAGGGAGTTTTACAGGTGTTGTCTGAAAGATCACGAAAGAGCCTGAGATGGAAGGAAGAAAAACCCCCAATAATATTTACATGGAAAGACCAAGTCGCTATAAAAAATAGTCAAAATAGTGGGTCTTTGAGTTTAAACAGTTCACTGTTACTTTACATTCTAAAGTGCATATAGATTGATATTTTAAGAAGTATCACTGGAAAATTTAATCTTTCTGTAGAAAAACAGCGCAGACATTTTGCAGCTTGACTGGCAAAAGTTGGGGATGAAGAGCACAGTTATCTCAGCGCAAGTTCAGAACCAACTTAGGAGAGGATGCTCGAGAATCCTATCGTGGTATCTCAGCGCAAGTTCAGAACCAACTTAGGAGGGGATGCTCGAGCATCCTATCGTGGTGCTGGTGACGCTCACCTGAGACTCAAGTCTCAGACAATATCCTACCTGATTTTGCTTGAATGAAAGCTATTTAAAATGGAAGGGAAAAACTGAGTTTCTTGTCACATTTTGTAAAGGAAAGTGGTATAGTCAAGGCTGAAATACTACTTGGTTTTAACTTAAAATCTCCCTTTACTTTAGGCAAAGGAAACTTTATTCTACGTAAGTGACAGAGTCCTTCCTTATAAACACTTGAGGGTAGATCAGGTGAGATCAGCACCAGGATAGGAGTGACCCCTAGTTAGTGTTGTCATCCAAGAGGGAAAGGACAGCCACAGGCTATTTGTGCATTTTTAAAGCATCGGGCAACAGTAAAGACTCCTGTACTTGCTGAGGTCCCTTCCTGGGGTGAGTTACAAGTGTGAATACTTATGGTACTTCATATAGAAGCTTCAAGAGAGAACTTTTAATGTGTATCTAATACAGTAGCTTAATAGTAAGGTTTATTAAATATGTTTTCAGATATTGCGAAAAAAGTATTCATCTTCTTACAAGTATGACTTGACCTGTAGGACTTTGCTTCCCTGTGCCTGGCAGTCAACCACACACTTGGTTGTTAATAGCTAATACAGGGTGATAGCGTCAGCAGTGTCCTGTAACTGTCGGGAATAGGATTTGTGTTTGGTAGAAAGGAGAGAAAACAGACTTCAAAAAACCTGCTCACCGAAGCTGGAGATCACGCGGGAGTAGAACCTTCCAGAGATCATAACGCATTCTTCACAGGAACGCTGAATAGCTGGCAAGCATATTTTGAGCTCTTCATGGTGAAGAGCAACAGTCTTCACGGTTGGGGGAGAAGTCCGTTCCGCTCGGTGGCCCCAGAGCCTAGGACGGGCGGGCCCCTTCCGCCTCCGTGCTCTCCAGGGACCCTGCGGACTCTCTCACAATATTTCAATGTCCCATTTCTGTGTTTCTTCTCCCTCCAGGGGCTGGTTTACAATTACGTGAGTTTTGTCATAATAATTTCCTCCTAAAATAGCAATTCCAAAAGGAAAGATTAATTTGTTCACACAGGTGCTTAACAATTTCACAACTGTCAGAAGGCTTTCGTTCAGCCCACTTGCTGGTGGGGTAGATTCATATGTCTTTATAAAAGCGATGGTCTGAAGTGGGAAACTGAGGTTAAAGAGGTGTAGCCGTTCACCTCAAACCGGACCTCACAGGAGGGACTGAAAAGCTAACCAGTATAACATAGAGATGTATGAATGATGTGCCCAGCAGTGGGATGCTTAAGCACACAGTGCTCTGAGCGTTCACCTCTGTCACACTGCATGTTCGTTTCTGCACCAAGAGTGGCGGTGACTAACCCAACTAAAGCACCAGTGCTGAATAATACTGGCCCTGACCTTGTTGAATTCAAAAGTGAGTTTAAGTGATACCCACTATAAATTTGAAGAACCACACAATTCAGAACAGAAAGTCAGAGATGTTTCTTTAGGGACCGGATGACATGTTACGGTTGGTGATGCTTCAAATTTCGAAATGTTCTCAAAGATCACATAGCAAATGAAAATTTTACCACTGTACTGGTAAACACCTTCATAGGCTTGTCCTTAGGCTTTTGATCCACCTATAGCTAATTGTTTTGCTTGTTGTTTGTTAAAATGGCATATCAGCTTTTTAAAGTATAATTAAAAACGACTTAATATTTCCCTTATACATAAGGGCTTCTTTCACCCAGGAGGAGGTAGAGGTTTGGAATTCAAAATGAATATCCAAGGACACAACACACTGGCTTTGGTCATAGGCCTACCTTTAACATCAAGGACCAGCTGATCACTGAGGTAGGAGCTGATGGTCCCGTTTCTGTTCAGTCTCCACTTCTGCCTGAACTGCCCGTGTTCCGTCCAGAGGGCGACTTTAGCTCCTGGTGTGTCTCGACCACCGATGACGTCCAGACACGTGTCACTGGCCTGAAAGGTCAAGAAATACATCAGCAGTACTGCATGTGCTCAAAGCAGCTGGACTGAGTCCTTTTTCTTTCATGTGAGTAAATCAGACAAGCCCATCTAAAAAGAAAACAAGGTCTAAAACTAAATCTAAAATTATAATCTCAGTCCACTTTTTCAGTTGTTATGGCTGAGGGAAATAAACCTACTGAGCTAGAGGTACTTTTTTTTTTTTTCCTGTGATCCCTCGAATCTCAAACTGCTGTGGTTGGAAGGAATCATAATTTTCCATGGTACAGATGAGTGTCAGAAAAGCACATATCATTTTAGAAATCATGTAAGTCTCAGTATGGTGGTGGTTCAGTCACTAAGTCATGTCCAACTCTTGCGATCCCACCTGTCTGTAGCCCACTAGGATCCTCTGTCCACGGGATTTCCCACCCAGGCAAGAATACTGGAATGGGTTGCCATTTTCTCCAGGGGATCTTCCTGACCCAGGAATCAAACCTGGGTCTTCTGCATTGCTTCCCTCATAGCTCAGTTGGTAAAGAACCGGCCTGCAATGCAGGAGACCCTGGTTTGATTCCTGGGGTGGGAAGATCCCCTGGAGAAGGGATAGGCTACCCACTGCATTATTCTTGGGCTTTCCTTGTGGCTCAGCTGGTGAATCTACCTGCAATGTGGGAGACCCGGGTTCAATTCCTGGGTTGAGAAGATCCCCTGGAGAAGGGAAAGGCTACCCACTCCAGTATTCTGGCCTGGAGAATTCCCTGGCCTCTATGTGTATAGTCCATGGGGTTGCAAAGAGTTGGACATGACTGAGCGACTTTCACTTTTGCATTGCAGGTGGGCTGGATTGAGCCACCAGGGACCCTGAGCTATTTGTTTTTAAAAGAACATCCAGATCTGACAACAGATGGTTAAATAAAGATTTGCTGAATTAGAATTAAACACTGAGTCCGTGTCAGCTTAAATATATAAGGTCGAGCTTGTTTTTCTTATAAAAACATTGGTTGATGTGCTGGATACCCAGACAATAATTACATTTAAGTGCTTTTCATCTCTTGAAGCATAAGAAAGACATCGCTAGTCCACTGGTGATATAATAAAACTGGTGTCTTATTCCCCATACCATCAAACATAATAGAACGGGTGCAGAAAACCAAATAAACCTGAATTCTATTTTCTAAACTTCCTCCAAAAGCAGCAGCTTTCTTCTACCTTCATTGTCTGTTCCGAAGACGTGCTTAGTTGCTCAGTCATGTCCAGCTCTTTTTAACCCCATGGACTGTAGTCCGCCAGGCTCCTCTGTCCATGGGGATTCTCCAAGCAAGAACACTGGAGTGGGTTGCCATGCCCTCCTCCAGGGGATTTTCCCAACCCAAGGATAGAACCTACGTCTCCTGCATTGCAGGCAGATTCTTTACCAGCTGGGCTACCAGGGGAGCCTGTTTTGAAGATGAGAAAGGTTCAATTCAACGTGTTTGGAATCACAAAGACAGCTCAATTGTTCCGGGCCACAGAGTGTAAGAAGCATCTCAGAAAAGCACACCATCCATTTGGCTGTGAAGACTTTTATCACTAGTTTTTAAAAAACCAATTAGTATGTATTAGTCTTTTTACTTTAAAACAGAATTTTTTGCTAGAGAAAGTCTAGTTTGTAAATCCATTTCACTTCAATGCTTCAGTAATATATGTCAATGTTTTTATAATCATGCAGCAAACTATTCATAGGAAGTTGCATTAATTGCATCATGCCATTTGATTTGGGACAATCCTGGTTTCTAAAAGACCAAAGATCAACAAGCAGGCTATACGATTGGTGGGGCTGGTTACCTTGGATTTAAAGAGCCCTCGGCAGTAGTGCCAGATCTGAGTATTCTTCCCGCTGTAGGGAGAGATGCACACAGAGGTTGCCCTGGTGTCGGCCACGTTTCCGGTGACTGTTAGGTACCCATTCTGGGCTCGGTTCCTTATTCTGATGTACACTGCGGGCTGTGGCAGGAGGGGCAGAGCCAGTTAGAAAAATACCTTTTGAGTCTGGAAATCAGCCCTTTCCAAGGGAAACGTGAAGGAAACATGTAGAAACAGAATTTAGCTTATTTATATCCGTTTCAAATTTTCCATTAAAAAGTCCTTACACCACTGAGCACATACCTTAAATAGTACAGTCTCTATTGTCTTTTCTGAAATATACTCTTGGGAGGGTGAAAGGTAATAGTTTCATTCACTCACATTCCGGTGCATAATTAGGGACTTAATGAGGTTCATGCAGTAACTACTATGTCCTTGCGGGTCTGGGGAAGGCTGGGGGAGTAAGAATAAGGGCAAGGTACTGCCTCCATGGGTGGAATAACAATTGAGCAGGCAAGGTACAATAATAAGACACATTGGCTTGTGCTATGATTAAGTGCCAAAAGACTGCTGTGGGAGGTTGTGAAAAACCCAGGTGGCTGAGGGCCCTCTGGTAATTTTTTTGTTTCTATTTATACTTTGTTGAAATTGACCTTGATAGACCTTGATATTTCAAGGAAAGAGGCCTTGCATATAGGTGGTCACTGTGTAGCTACTCAAAAATTGGGTAAAAGAATTTCATCTCTTGGGCCTGGAATATACAGAAGTTTTCAAATAAGATACTAAGTCTAGGACTTGCCTCTAAGGATCACAGTTACTATTTATTGAGACTTAGTCCTAAATGCTTATCAGAATCAATGACCAGAACAACCCTTTAAGAGAATACAAGAGACTTCCCTGGTGGTCCAGTGGTTAAGACTCCACAGTTCCACTGCAGGGGGCACAGGTTTGATCCCTGGTTGGGGAACTAAGATCCTGCATGTTGCAGGGTATGGCCAAAAATTAAAACAGAAACACTACAGGGAAAACAGAAAAGAAAGTATAATTCTGACCTGCATTCTTACAAATAAGGGTAACACAGATATGGAAAAACCAGGTTTGCCTGTGCCAAAACCCTCCCTATTCACCCTGAGGCTCTAAGGCCTGTGCAGAGATACACTCATTACTCTGAGACATGGGGAATAAGAGACCAAGTCCAAAGTTGGCAGTGGAATAGAAGGATAAAAGAACGAAGCACGTGACTGAAGCACCCCAGAAACTATTCTCTCAGCCCCAGGACTTAGGCCTCCAGTCTTAATGTGATACAGGACACTCAATATCCCTGCCTTGGATCAGATGTTGGATCAGATGTTGGCATCCCACTTAGAACCTCGTCAGATACCAGTAACACATAATCTGTTACTGAATGAAGCACTTTTCAAGCTGAGAAAGGTAAGAGCTAGGGAAGTGTGACAGGGCATTATGGTAAGCCCACCAATGAATATTCTGTTTTGAAGTTTAAGATGGATCAATGTGAGGCCAGCTGAGGTTTGGTAAATTGGTGTTATGTTTAGCCTTCCTATGGAAATAAACATTCTGGGCACTTCAGTTCAGTTGCTCAGTCGTGTCCGACTCTTTGCGACCCCATGAATTGCAGCATGCCAGGCCTCCCTGTCCATCACCAACTCCCGGAATTTACTCAAACTCATGTCCATCGAGTCAGTGATGCCATCCAACCATCTCATCTTCTGTCGTCCCCTTCTCCTCCTGCCCCCAATCCCTCCCAGCATTAGGGTCTTTTCCAATGAGTCAACTCTTCGCATGAGGTGGCCAAAATACTGGAGTTTCAGCTTGAGCATCAGTCCTTCCAATGAACACCCAGGACTGATCTCCCTTAGGATGGACTGGCTGGATCTCCTTGCAGTCCAAGGGACTCTCAAGAGTCTTCTCCAAATCCACAGTTCAAAAGCATCAATTCTTCAGCGCTCAGCTTTCTTCACAGTCCAGCTCTCACATCCATACATAACCACTGGAGAAACCATAGCCTTGACTAGACGGACCTTTGTTGGCAAAGTAATGTCTCTGCTTTTTAATATGCTGTGTAGGTTGGTCATAACTTTCCTTCCAAGGAGTAAGCATCTTTTAATTTCATGGCTGCAAGCACCATCTGCAGTGATTTTGGAGCCCCCCAAAATAAAGTCCGACACTGTTTCCACTGTTTCCCCATCTATTTGCCATGAAGTGATGGGACCAGATGCCATGATCTTAGTTTTCTGGGCACTTATATAAGCAAATAAAAGGACAGTTTTTTAAATCTGGTAATGTAAAGCAGATGAAAAAGATCTCTTACTTGGTAAAGTGTTTTAACTGTTTCAAACCACTATTTCCATATTCACAGTGCAACAGTAAGGTGTTAAATTCCTGTAATTCGTGAGTCTTGAATCATAATTCTATAAGTCTCCCACAGTTATTAATTATGGAGGCTTCACTACATCTTTACAACAGTTTCCTTACCTTGTATGTGTAAGAAAACAGGTGTGACCTTCACAAAGGACAGTTCCACTTATGTTAGGACCAAACATCACAGTTTTTAATCAATTAGCTCAAGTAAGGTAATAATCACCCTTATTATGCACTTGTAGTCTGACTTCTCTATGATTATACATTAAAGCACCGATATGCATTGTAAGTGCCTTACTGAAGTCCTAATTTCCAACCTCAGAGGATCACATTTTGATGATTCCTGAATTTCTAAACAATAATATGAGCCAAAGCAGTGCCAAGAGGCTTACCAAAAAAAGGAATTATGACCCATATACATCCATCTATGGCCAAACCACCCTGAACGCGCCTGATCTTGTCTGATCATGTCAACTAAGCAGGGTCGGGCTTGGTGAGTGATTGGACGGAAGACTCATAATATTGTTATAGGTACCTAGAGTTCCTCTGCTGGTTTTCAAAGCTCTGGCCTAAATAAACAAAGGGAAAATATTAAAGTATTATTTTGAAATTAAATGTTTAACTAGGAATAATTTCCTAATGCACAATTCAAGGAGAGTAACAATGTTAATATTTAAAAAAAAGCTTCTATTTAGAATCAGAGGCTACTGTTCTAGCTATCTTGACTAACAGCCAGGGATACCCTTCCCAGCAAGGGACCCCCTTTCAAAAGTGAGGGAAATATTCTCAGCATCCAGCTTGGCTTCCAGCGTTTCTAACAACATGGGATTAAGTGTTACTACAAATATATAAGCTAAACTGAAATCCCACTTCTGCCGTGCTTTTTCCCCACAGCTATTCAGGGCGGTTCCCCATCATCCTGTGTGACAGGACTGAGAAACAAGCAGGATGCAATGCAGGAAGATCCGTACCACGCACTGCCAGGGAACTGCACTGATGCTTAGCAGCCCTCAGCCAGGCATCTCTGGTTCTCTCCAAGGACATTGGGAATAAACACCTTTCAAAATAAACATGTCACCACAGCAACATGAGCCAGATGTGTCAGTTCTCACGATGATTTAATCCTCACGATGATACTGAGAGGTAAGCAATGGGATCACTGTTTCACCAGTGACAAATCTGAGATGCCAAGAAGTTCAGTGACTCACTCAAAGTCACACTGCTTCTGAGTGGCAGAGCTAGGATCTGAACCAACAGAACTACAGTGGTGGGAATGAGCGTGGTGTGCACATATGTGCATGCTCCTGTGTACACACACAAATGTGTGTCTTTATCCGTTCATCTGTTCGTCAAAAAAAACATTTCTCTCTTGCATTCTTTTTGATAAACAGCATTCTGACAGGTGGGAGGTGATATCCCATAGTGGTTTTAATTTGTATTTCTCTGATGACTAGTGACGCTGAGCATATTTTTATGTGCCTGTTGGCCATCTGCATTTCCTTTTTGGAAAAATGTCTTCAGTTTTTCTGCCCAAATGCTATGGGGGATCCTCTTCCCAGTGCTCTTCCCAGGGCACTTCCCAGTGCCCCCAGGCTAGGGGCTCAGACTCTCTCCTTTGGGAGAACTATTCTCCAATTATTGGGTCACCCACCCAGGAGATGTGATCTGATTATATTGCAAATCTGTCTCTCCTACTCCTAGTGGCTCCTTTTTTTATATCTTCAGTGGTAGAGGATCTTTTCTGGTGGGTCCCTCTTTCTCATTCATGGTTGTTCTGCAGACAGTTGTGACTTAGGTGTGCCTGTGAGAGGAGGTTAGCTCAGGGTCTTTCTAGTCCACTATCTCGGTCCCTCTCCATTTTGCATTTTATATGACTGCTTTGAGTTGGGCGTGTTTTACCCAATGAAAATGTAAGCTCCGGTAAGGCCTAAATCATGTCTACCCTTATATATCTTCTGTAATTACTTTTCACATAGTATCAAACATTAAACTTATCCATGTAGACATTCATTCCTTCCCTGAAAAAACAGTCCCTGAGTGCCTAGAATGCGCCAGACATTGTGACAGGCAGAAGTGCAGAGTGAGAAGCCCTTCACGGGGCATGCTGCAGAGCTAGAAAGTGCCCACTCCAACAAACACATCATTACACACCTCAGGCAGCGTCTTGTAGAAACAGAACCAGGTCTTTAAGGATGTAATTTAGATTCAGAGAGACCTCCTGGAGGGCCTGACACTTGAGATGAACTTAAAGGAGGACAAAGAACTAGCCAGGCAAGGAATGAAGGAAGACACTTCTAGACAGAGGCCGTAAGTGTGGGAAGGCACTCTGTGCTGGTGTGTGGCACAGAGCCTGCATGTGAGGGGGAGACAGACAAGGCTGAAGAAGCCAGGGGGAGCCGGATCACACAGGCCGTGCTGAGAGATGAGACTGAACCCAGAGAACAGTGGGACGTTTCTGCATAAAAGGCTGACAAGCAGTAGGTGTACAATAAACACTATGTTCATTAAATCGCCAGGATCCATCCTGAGTATTACATAAGCGGGGCTGGGGGGAGCCAAATACTCAGGAGGTGAAACTAGCGTGCACTCAGAGTTCATTTTTGTCTCCATGTTTGCTACGGAGCTTAGGATACTTATTTTCCCCATGAAAAGACTACAAGGCCAATCAGACTTTAAGACTCAAAGCTAAAACCCAACACTGACCTTAGGTACAATTTCATGATTTAGTTTTATGATCCCATCCTAATGGGATCCTCTTGTAACATAAATGGCAAACTGAATTAAATGGTCCACCGTTCAGATGCTGTGGTTTATGACATTTCTACTAGGAAATTGAGCTATATTATTAGATCATACGGTTCTTTTCTCTGTACCTGCTTCACAGGACGGAGGGAACCAATGGTTTTCCATCCACTGAATGCTCTCCAATTTGGGATCTCATTAGGCTCGAGCAGGATTTGTCTTCCTAAGAAATTGGGTCCTTCATAAGCTATCCACCTATACAAGAACAGGAAAGAAACAAATGGGATGCTTAAAACAAGGCAATCTCTTATCAAAAATGCCTCTTACTATACCACATAGGGTTCATTTGTTATGGCTTCTAGGTTTGTAGATTGTTATTCAGAGAAAAAATGTTGTGTATTTTCATGTTTATTTCCACTTACTGATTTTATTTGGCAGCACCCGGTCTTAGCTGCGGCATGCGGGATCTTTAGTTGGGGCACGCAACGCTCAGCTGCAGCACGTGGGATGCAGTTCCCTGAGCAGGGACTGAACCCGCACCCCCTGCATTGGGAGTGCGGAGTCCTGGCCACTGGACCACCAGGGGAGTCCCAGAAATACACATAAAATGTGTATTTGAGTGGAAAAACCAAGGAGGATGAGGAGAAAGCGCACTGGACTGTGGCTCAGAAAATCAGCAGGAACCTGGTTGTCTTCCTTTCAAAACAAGGTTCCCTCCAGCTCTAGAACTCTGTGTTATTTGGATAATACCAGGTTTCCCCCCTCACATTCTAAGATTCAGACACAGACGATAACCCCTCCCTCATTACCCAGTTAAAAAAATACCGGCTTCCTCTCCTGCTCTTGGGCTTGCTGCCCCACGCCCTTCAGAGCCTCTCTGCGCTGCTCCAGAAACCTCTGCAGACACACCTCCTCCCACAACGCCTCCCGTGACTACTTAAAATTGTCCACAGAAATCCTGTCGGAACTCTTCAGAGTGGCTCCTTTTGCAAATACTTCTCAGGACCCCAGCGGCCTTCCAACTGGGCAGTGTCCAGGGCTTTGCGGAGTCTGGCTGGAGCCTGGAGACCTACGCCACCGCACACGGTCATGCCCATTCCTTTCCGCACTGGCCTCGGCGGCTTCTGCACCACGGCGTTAGGTGATAGGGGCAGGCTGGCCAACAAACGGAGAAGACCACCTGGCCCCCTCTGTAGAGGTTTGCCGAGCCCAGCCTGAGGTGGTTATCCAGCTGGACACAGTTATGGAAAATAAGCTGGGACCGAAAGAGAAACTGCACTTCTCAGCAGGACCCCAGGTCAGGGCACACGGTGCTTTCAGAAAGGACGTGTGAAGATGAGGTGGCTTGTTCAGACATAGCTGCAGCTCTCCACAACTGAGATCAAGCTTGGCCAAATTATGCATGGACGAGCGTGACAGACGATCTTTCCTGCACCCCTTCCTGCTAACACAGCCTACACCATCAGACTGGTGCACCGTCAGGACGGTATGGCCATGGGGAGGCTGGGCTGCCTCTCCAGGTCTGCAGACTCTTTAGACAGGCAGGGAAGTCTCAATTATAAAACTGAGATAAGGTTCTAATCAACTCGACCTCCTTATATATTAATCTAATGAATTTCACAACTGAAAAGCATTGAAGCTTGCCCCCATTACCACCACAGATCAGAGATGCGGGATAATATGAGGATTAAACAGGACAAAACAAAACCCCTCACTGAGGGCAGCTGGTTGTGCATGAAGTGGTATTCTGGGAGCCATTTGTAGCCTAGGAAAACCTTCAGACAGCCTTGCCTCTTCCCATCCCATGTACTGATTCTCTCACAAAGAATCCAGAACCATAAGGGGAAGTACACAATAAACTGAAGAGAAGAAATAAGAATGTTAAAATGGCACCAGTTTTCTACAAAAGAGTGAAAAATGTTTATAAGAAATTTCTAGCCGTGAGCTAGTAATGAGAAGTTCCACTTAGAAATGTAAAGAAAAGAAATAAATAAAAATGCGGTGCAAGTTCTACATGACAAGGATGTAGAATTCAGCTCAGAGTTCCAGTCAGTAACGTACTGGAATACAATAGGGATTTTTATGCTTAAAGAGAATAAACCAATTTATGTTTAATAAACACCAAACTGTGGGAAATACCTTGCAGAAGAAAATTTAAACTGCTGCACATGTGAATGATACAGAAACTAATTGTAACTGTTAAACTTCATTTGCAAATCAGTTTATAGTCTCGGCTTTCTCTTTCATTATCCCCAGACAGTTTAACAATGAGAGTTGATTGTCACACAATTTCAAAGTCATAAGATACACACACAGCATCCTTATATTAATTATGGAGAGCAATGTGTGTTCTGTTGGATGACTTTTGGTACCAAAACACCAAAGATGTGGGGAGGGGCAGGCTAGGCTGACAGCCACTCTCAGAAATGGCCTGAGATGAAGATTTTCTAGGAAGCGTGAGAGCTTCAACTTCAAGGCCCCTCACTTTCAGTCCACTTACCATTTCTGTCCTGAATAAATATGCAAGCTCATGCCTAATTTATGTACCCATCGTTTTTCATTTCTTTTCTTAGAGTCATCTTGCCAGACTGTAAAAGTGCAGGCTCCACATGACCTGCACCCACCCTGCCCAACATCCCGCATAAGCGGCAACACTGGTAGGCAGGCTGGGTCAGCCAGGACACCGAGCATGAAAATAAGTGCCCGAGAACAAAACAGCTCTAGCATAAACAAGACATCAAATCAAAACACTAAAAAGCCCTATTAGTTTTAGTCACTTGTCTTAAGCAGGTAATGGTCTCTCATCTGGTCAAGGTCACTGATTTAATTAGGTCCCCTCTGAAAGGAAAGAGGGCTCCAATTGTGACAGTCATCTGGTCTACCCACTCTAGGACCCATGATCTGAACGCATGGCAGTCCTTCCCCAAGACCACTGCCTGCTACTACATACTGGACACAGTCCACAGTCTTATTTGAGAGAAACTACTGTTATTACATGGAGACGGAAAAGAAGTGAGCGTACCATCACACCAAGTAAGAGAGGCAGTGGGGAAGAGAAAGCCCCCAAGCAGCGCTGACCTGCCACGTGACGGAAGCGGGCCAGGCCCTAGCCCCGTACTCACAGTCCACTTTTCACCCACACGGACTGGGTGTAGAAGTACAGGTCCTTGTTCAGAACAGAGTTCACAGCCTCTTCTAGATGTAACTCTCTCCCCTCACAGTGTTCCAGGGCAAAAAGGCTAAGGAAGGGCTCTTCAAAAACCTAAGAGCAGAGAAAAGAGAAAGCATCACCAGAGGGTGGCCACACCTCGGTGACATCCCGGTCACAGTGCAGGGTGTCCTGGATGCCCTACTTCTCAAACGCACATAGGTGATGGCTGCACCTGCTAATGATGCCATTGCCAAAGCTGCAGTGGTGAGACCAGATTCCATTAACAATGCTTATTCAGTTCTTTTGTAAATTAAAACTGAAATTTTAGAAAAGCAGTCAATCTCACAATAAAAAGAGAGACCTTTTCCAGTCACATATTAAGGTCTGATTGTGCTATAAAATAGACCACGTTTTTGGTCCTGCCAGTACTTTTAGCTGATCACAGAATAAACACAGAATGGAACAGCACCCCCACTTCCCAGGAGGTCACAGGAGTAATCACTGAGGATATACGACTTCATGGCTCCAGGCTCTTAAAAGTATTCCTAGGAGGGAGGAGAAGGTATTTTTAATTTAACAATAATAACACCAAAAAGCCACGGTGCACAGGGGTGGGAGTGATTTAGACATAAAAAGTACTTATTTCCCCCAACCCCTCATGTCAGACAAGAACAGAATCAGTTTTTGCTCTTTTTCATTCATTTGTGTATACAAGATAACCATGGTAGGAGACTTTTGTGGGATGAGAAATCAAAACAAGTCAACATCCCTATATCTGAGGCATTACTAACTAGTAGCTACACTAGGAGAACTGCACAGACATCATAAAGTAATCCAGGGAAGGAAAAGATACGCCCTATGAAAATACCCAGTGGAAGCCCAAATTCTTTTTAGCAGAAGGCTGTAGGAATCAGGGAGGCTTCACGAACATGGTGGGGAGTGAGTTCAGTCTCCAAAGATGCCTGTGACCTGCAGAGGGAAGGTGCTCTGTGCAAAGAAGGGAACAGAAATGCATGAGCTCTGGTAGCGACACGGCAAGTAAACTGATGTTGCCAAGAGACAGAGCCCGGCAGGAAACAGCGCCAGCGCATCCGCTGGTTGCCACTGTGTATTAGCTGCCTGCTTCCCCTTGACCCTGGCGGAGCAGGCTGATCTACCGCCAGCTGGGAGTCCTGGAAGGTGTGTGGGCAGAGGAGGAGGAATGGGCTGAGCCAACTGTAAGCTGGTACATGAGAAGTAATACAATAGGCAGGAACTGGCTGTTCGGACAACAGTACATGAACAGTCCAACAACGGACTCTCACTGCACCTGCATAAGACCGAAATGGCTTACGAAAAGTGTTATTCCTGGCAGCCATGTTAGGAATAGCAAAGATGGAGAATGACTTAAAAGCCCATCATGAGGGCATGGGTTATGTCTGCTGCATTCATGAAGGAATTCTATCCAACTGTACAAAAGAGTGAGGAGATTGTTACTAAAGATCTCTGAGATATGTTCATTAGCAGCAAATACAAAGTGAAGAGTAATGCAGAAGAGCAGACTTTTTATGCTATAGTTTCTGTGCAGAAGGGAAAATTTACGTACACAAATGTATAATACGTGCTTTATAGACATGAAAATTTTTCTTAAAAATATCAAGTATAAGGCACCTCTACCGCTAATGTGTCAGGAAACTAGGATCTAAGAAGATAAATGGAGGAGTGGGAGTAAAGTTCTTCACTGCAGGCCTTTGGTCCTTTTTGATTTTTGAACTATGGAAATATTTATTCAAAACTTAAATTGGTAATTATTATGCATATGTTTGCACAGAAATGTAGTTTATGTGTATTTTTCTTTAAATTGATTTCAGGAAACTTATCTGGCAACAAAATGAGTGAAGAACATATAGTATAAGTATCAGGACATAGGAAGAATCTTCTAGAACAAAGAAAAAGAGGCTGACCTAAAAACAGGAGGGGGGGTGTGGAAGGTCAGGATTGGTGAAGAAGGGGTGGCCAGAAAAACTACCACAGTGATAAAAGGGTAAGACAAACAGATGAATGAGAGAGAGAGAGAAACATGTGAGAGCGTGGCTGGGGGCAGGCTCAACCCTTGAACCATGAGGGCTGGTCCACTTATACAAGGGTTTTTTGCAATAAATATGCACTACACGACCTGAGGTTGGGTGAATCTTTGGATGTGGAAACACAGAGATGGAGGGGCCAACAGTAAAGTCATATGCCAACTTTCAACTGTGTGGAGAGTCAGCACCCTCAACCCCTGTCTTGTTCAGGAGTCAACTCCTGGACTTCCCTGGTGGCACAGTGGGTACGAACCTGCCTGCCAGCGTAGGGGACGTGGGTTCAATCCCTGGGCCAGGAAGATCCCACTTGCTGTGGAGTAACCAAGCCTTTTCGCCACAACTACCGAGTCTGCACTCTAGAATCTGAACTCTGCAACAAGAGAAGCCGCCGCAACGAGAATCCTGGGCATCACAACTAGAGAAAGCCTGTGTGCAGCAGTGAAGCCTCTGGTGCAACCAAAATAAGTAACAGTTTTTAAAAAATCAACTGCAATTTGTCACATATGAGAAACTCTGGAGGGCAAACACGCCCAGCAGCTAAGAACGCTTCCTGAGAACCAGAGGTTTTACTGTTGAGACAGAGGCAGGGTAAGCCCACAGTGCCCAGTGAACACGGGCCCTCTGACCTGGAGGTCAGGGAGAGCATTGGATGCAGGCATGATCATCTGGGAGCTCCCAGACCCAAGTGGTAGCTGCAGTCAGGCGCGGGAAAGGGCATGGAGACAGAGGGGGAACAGAGCCGCGCTGACGCGCGACGCCCGCGGGAGCTGACGAGAGGCGGGCCTGGGCAGTGGCAGGGTAAAGAACCCGGAGAGGAGCCAGAGAGCACGTGTCGCAGAAGTCAAGGGGAAGGAAAATCAGGAGGAGGGGCTGGCCTCGGATCAAACCCTCCCCTGATGTGCAGGAAGAGGGTGACTGTGACGAGGCAGCCTGGGCTCAGCAATCGGGGCAGATGATAACCAACGCAGGAGCTTAGCGAGCCATCCGCCAGAGGTGAGGGGTGGGATCCAGGCTGTCAGGGCCCAGGAATAAGTAGGGGAGACTGGAGATGAGGCGTACGGGCTACATTTAGAAAGAGAAGGAGGGACCGGGGCCGTGGCCTCTGTGGCAACTGCAGGTACGGGGGAAGGCGGCAGCGTCAACAGGAAGAATCTGGATAAGGCAAGGCTAGAGGGGTGGGTTCCAGGGAAGGAGGTGAGGTCCAACAACCCCCAGTTCAGAACCTCGGACTGGAATCACCCTATGGGGGAAAGGATCACTTTGAAAAAGATGAACTATGCTGCCTCTGAAATAGAAGGAAAGATGAAGGATGCTGAGAAATTTCCAGGCTTTTAAAATTGGTAAAGACTAAACACAAGCACAAAGATGTAAATAATTTTTTCTGTATGTTACGTGGCAAAGGGTGCCCGAGGATCACGGAAGGTGTGCTGCATCGTCCAGGAGAGCTTCCTGCAGGGACAGATATGCGGAATATCCACCTCTTCCATGTGGCAGCTTCCAGCCACCTGTGGCCACTGCGCATCGGAAATGTGGCTCCTGTGACCAAGGACTGAATCTGTTTTATTTAATTAAGAAACTACATGTGATTACTACTATGGTATTGGACAGTACAGATGCAGGGGTTTGAATATGCTTTGAAAAGAAGGCAAGCATCACCGTGTGCAGCGAGACAGTAAGCTAAGTGTGAAAAAGCTGCCCAGGAAGCACTGATTTTTCCTTCAGTGAACAACATAAACTGGGTCAGGAATGGACACTCATCTCGAGTGACTGCACATGTGATCAGGCTTCTCCTCTATCTGCAAAATAGACATTGGAAGCATCTCAACAATTTAAGGAGGAAATGTCCTTACAGGAGAGTCCAGAATAGCAGGTTAGAAATGCAGCCAATAGCGGGCGCTAAGTTAGTCACTAAAACTGGTGACCGAAATCAAATGGACAATCAAAATCCACAGATAAGACCCTGACTTCATTGCTGCTTCATTCCCAACATCTTCGCCCTCAAGCTCATAAAAAAGCATTTCCGCTTCCCTCTACTTGTTGAGTTACTCATCAGTAAGGAAGGGCAGACAGGCAAGGAGCTTGGTGGACTCACGGCCCGCCACAAGTAAAGAGTTTGCTGTGGCGAGAGCAACAGACCCTTACATTAGAAGCATCGCTTATGTGAGGATATAATTTAAATGCTAAAAGTGATATTTTAAGAAAAGAGGTCCTGCATGTTTACATTTGTTTTCTTCCTTTTAGGGAATGTCCACAAAAACGTTTTTAAAAGGCTGTCATTATCATTCAAACTGCATCAAATTCACTCTCCAGTTCAAAGGCAATCCAGGAATTCTATACCTAGAAATTTGCCTTAAGATAACAGTGCAATGATGCCCAAAGCAGACTTACTGGAAAAGACCCTGATGCTGGGAAAGATTGAAGGCAAAAGGAGAAGGGGGCAACAGAGGAAGAGATGTTTAGATAGCATCACCGACTCTGGACATGAATCTGAGCAAACTCGGGGAGATAGTGAAGGACAGGGGACCCTGGCATGCTGCTGTCCATGAGGTGGCAGAGAGTCAGACACAACTTAGCAACTGAACAACAATGAACAATGGAAAATTTGATGGAGGGGATCTCAAAAATTGTTTTAAGAATTTTGGGAAAATAATTGCAGAAAATGACAGAGGAGGGTATTTGTATCAGTTTACTTAACTCAGTAAGGATCCTCTAAGAGACCCACTACATAAATGGGTGAAGAACACAAACCAACAGCATTAGCCAAGCATGAAACATGACTAACCAACATGGACAAATGTCCCTCTTCTCCATTAACAACAACAGGATATCATCATGCGGTCCCATTTATCAAACTTTTCCTCTGAGAACATCTATTGTTTCTAAGTTTAAAGTCATGCCCTCTTTAGAGGTCTGATATATATTTACTCTGTCTGTGTTGTGTGTTAAGTCGCTTCGGTCGTGTCCGACTCTTTGCGACCCTACGGACTGTAACCCACAAGGCTCCTCTGTCCATGGAATTCTCCACACAAGAATACTGGAGTGGGTTGC